CAATGCCAATCAAGCAAATGCACTTTGAAGGATTATACAATCTCTAAGTATATGAATCCTAAAATGGCGTTCAAAGAAAGACAAATAAGAGTACAAGGTGTGATGAAATATAGTGTTTATTAATGGTAGGAGACTTGAGTGGAAGAAACGTACTTGTCGTGAGGCATATCGGAGCATTTCCAGTTAGTATTAGCAAGAGCATCATGGAAACTTCGGCATTCCTCGGGTGTACGAAGGCGGATTCTGCGATGTTTTTTACACACAGTGCACCTGATGAATTCATCGCGATGGCAGACTTTTGGAGTGTTTGACTTATTTGAGCCATTCGCATGCTTTGAAGATTGAATATAATACTTGAGCAGTGCAGTCTTTGCCACAGGAACCTTCTCACCATTAACAATGACCCAAATATTGTTCTTCCATTTTCTTGCAGTTTCTCTTCCAGAATGCTTCTCAAAAGCAGCTGGAGTCATCTTATCTGTTGATCACCCAAAAAAATATGAAAGGTTGGAGCTAAAAGCTAAACAGATCATGGAGATAATAACCAAAGAAAAAAAGGATTAAAAAGGTATGAAAAGTTTCCTCCTTTGCCATTCAAAAGATCAATGAAGACAGAAATGCAATGTCCAGACTAGTAGGGCAGGCAATAATATTCAGATGCTTCTTAAAAAGCATGTAAATAAAAATGAATACCAGCTGGTGTAGAATTACACTTGAATAAACAGCAAACTATGATAGACTACTAAAGAGACTAAAGTACAGAAAAATGATTGTGAATAAATTCATCAACATCCACAGTGGCAAATCATTTGTTTGGAATACATGGGCATGGGCATGTTTGGATTGTCACCCTAGGAGTCACCAGGAACTACTTTCCATTGCCTGTTGCACATATGCAATCCATCCATGAACTGAAAACTAACTCATTAACTGTGCTCAAGTAATAAAGAAAAACCTAACAGCTTCTTCATAGAGAAATTCAACCAAATATTCCCAGATGAGTGGTTACTCTTAATCAATATGAATTGCAAAACCAAACACTCTTCCATAACACATTAAAATAAAGATCTAATATTAGAACAGAAAATGTGACTTCATATCCAAAAAACCATTTTTTAAAAAAAATTGCACACATGAGATCATTCAGATAAAACTCTGCATCCAAGCTGGATAGATTCTTTTACCAAGAAACCCTTTCAAGAAATCACACTAAAATCTCATATTGAACAACACAATGCGCTTCAGCTCAAAAGAATTCAAGTCTAACCCAACACCAACACAATAAACGTTCAATCTAAAGAAACATCCAAAGGAAAACAAAAACAATTAACGTGTGGGGACATGATGTAGCTAGACTACAAACACTCCTCGCTACCTCATGTTCTCTCAGGCATATTATCATACACTTAGGAGTCCATATCATGTACAAGGACTAGTTTCAAGATGGATTGTATGAAAGCCAAGAAGAACAACTACATTCGATGAACAAAGGGTATCTAAGATGAAATAGAAATAAAATCTAAGGAAAGCAACACATACCCATAAGGCATGAGCAAAACACATTTCCAGCTTATAAACCCATTTCAAGAAGGAATGATAAAAAAAATGATTGATGAAAGACAAAAGAATCGAAGAAGGCACCTTCTTGGCAACCGGGGATGCATTCACAGACGATTCCAAGCTCGCCGCTGGAGAAAACCCTAAGTTTCCCGACGGCATCGCCGTAGCGGTGGCTGGTGCACCCGCACGTCACCTCCACGTAATCATCCCCGACCTTCAGACCATTGATATCCCCCACCTCCTCGTCGCTGAACAGCGCCGCCGCTTTCTTACCACTCTCGCCGGAGTCGACGCGCTGCTTCTTCTCAACTCCGTTCTCCCCCTCCATCATCCCAATCCCACCACCTCTAATCTCAGCTCACAGACTGAAAATGAGATTTCGCATCAAAATCGAGACACCCCTGCGACAAAATAATGGAAGAAAATCATAGAAACAGGCCCATGAGAAGCCACCCACCGGCAACGCATTACAAGTACACACATTTTGTTCTCATTATACGAAGATATGGGTGTGAAAGGGAGCGGAAGAGAGAAAAGACCTAGACGGAGATTGGGCGGCCGGCGGACGGTGGCGATGAGAGAAAGGGCCTCCGCGGGCACGCATCTCCAAGAGGGTTAGTCCACAGAGATCTGTTGCAGAGCCGTATGAAATAAATCGCAACAATTTATAGAAGAAGCCACGCAGATTCGTATGATGTACGTTGCTCAAATTACCAAAAAAGGCTTGCTTTATTTATTGAAAATTTATTGTGAAAAGTACATTAAATATTCCTGAATTTTTTAGAAATTTCACAATTTATCCATTAAAAAGCATACCAAATGCCGCCAAACTCTTACGAAATTGCACAATTACTCACGATTCCCGTGTATGGGAGCAACACACTCCCCATCTAGGGTATTTGGTAAACCTTTTAATGTTTAGGGTAAATTATGTGATTTTTGAAAAATTCGAGGATAAACGATACATTTTTTAATGTTCATAGGTAAACCATACAATTTCAAAGAGTTCAGAAGTAAACAGTGCACTTTTCTCAAATATTATTACATGGAAAATATTATTCCACTATTACATTGAAAATAAAATAAAAAACACTTTGACTCTGTGTTTTAGTGCGGAGTAAAACTTTTATCTCAAATTATTTATTCAGTTTAACTTTTTTAAGTCAAACTCAATAAACTTTGATTATGAATTAAATATGTAGTAGTAGTTATATTAAATATTTCGTAGAATAGAAAATAAAATATTGTTATTATTACTTATTTTATTTAATTATTATTGTAATTATTTATTCTATTTTAATTAGAATTGTTCGTGTATTTTCTACATACAAAGTATAATGATGTAGGAGTAATTTTCATAGTTCAATAAAATCAATTATTATGAAATTGTAAAATAATATTTGAAAAAATTTATAAGAGACAGGGGTTACAATTTCTAACAAGTTGAATAAAAACAATAATCTTGCAAAAATCATAAACTAAAATATGAAGATTTTTCGAAGACGGATAGATTTTTTATATAAAAAAAAGAATTAGTTTTTCTAACAAAGAGCTAAAATGTAGGGGCTAAGGCTATGATTTACGGATTATTTTGAAGGGGGAAAAAAGCAAATATGACAGTCTGTACATTTTTTTTACTCCGCGGTCAAATAATCAAATTTGAAAAAGAATGATACGATCGAGTATGAGCTGTTTGACAAGGGGAAATTTTTGAAATAAATGATTGATTAAACAACTGTGTTTAGATTTTTGGGATTTTTTTGTCCAAAGGTTAGATTACAAAAATAGTGTAAAAGATAAGATAAAGTATTAAAATAAGTATTTCATATTTTTGATCTCAAAATATGAATTTACACCGTCATAATGTCACGTTGTATATTTACATTGAGTAATTCTATGTTTACAAGCAGAATGATCACAAACTTCATAAACTTATTATTTATGGTTTAAATTTACAATTTAAAATTATTTAGACTACTTAATTTTTTATTGAAATTTATAAATAATAAATTTGTAAAATTTGTGATAATTTTGTTTGTAACCCAAATATTTCTAAGTTACGTTCCACAATATTTTTTAGTACGGGGTATTATATTCCCTTCGTCTTTAAATCATTTACTTTTTACGCAAATAGAAGTAAAATCTCAAGCTTTTCAATTCATTTTATTTAAAAATTGATATATAAATAAAAATAAAATTTACATATTTAAAAAGTACAACAAAAATTCTACAAAATAAGAGGTGACAAGAAATATTGTTTATCAAATTCAAAACACACAAATAAACATAAGTTTCTGTGATTTTTTAACAGTAGAGTGCGTAAATCATTTAGGGACGTAGAGAGTATGTTAACATTTTTAACATAGTAATTTTATTTTAGTAACAAAAACATAGAAATCATATTCTAATGGGTGACGTTTACATGGTCACAAGGTCCATATTTAAATTATGAATCTTCTTACATTTTTCAGGAACTTGCATGTAGATTTTTTGTGTGTGCAAAAGGCTCATTTCTTTTATGATATAAAATGTACTAAGATCCATAAAATTAGCATAGATTTTAAGTTTACGGAAGAATTTGTCTATTTTTTATATTTTGTCTATATTTCACTAATAGTTTAATTAAGTCAAACTTATTGACCTCTCTATAATCTACTATATGGCTTGACCACAAGGTTTTTAACACTTCATTGTATATTTTGTAAAGAAAAATATGCAGGCACAATACAATCAAGGTAAAAACAAATACATGAATATCAATTTCAATAATCTCTCATATATTCGGTTTTCAAAAAAACAAAAAAAATACTCTCTCCCTCCCAAATTATTTGCAACGTTTGTTTTTTCAGCAGTCGCGGAAAGTTTTGTTTATTTCTACGTTTTCATTGGTTATTTGATAAAATAAAATATTCTTAACACCTCTTATTTCGAAGAATTTTTCATGTAGTTTTTTTTGATATGTAAATTTTATTTTTTATTTCTATACCAATATATAAATAAAATGATTTGAAAAAACTTAATATTTTGCCTCGGAAATACAAATGTGGCAAATATTTAGGGACGGAAGAAGTATGGTACTAGAGAATCCATTTTACAGTACTACTCCGTATTAAAGAGTACTTCGTATTCCGTCAATTGTCATCCCAAGTCCCAAGTGCCTATTGTTACTTACAAGTACTTCTTATTAGGGGTGGACACGGTACGGTTCCGGTTCTAGAACTGCCGGTTACGGTACCGCCACCCCGAGTAACCGGAAATGATACTGTGCCGGCCGGTACCGGTTCCGGTCCCCGGACCAGCGGTTCCGGAACCAGACCGGCCGGTTTCGCCCCCCCCCCCCTATTTTTTTTTAAATTTGCAATTGTTTAAGGAAAGAATGAAATAAAAAATCTAAAAATGTAGTTGTTATTTAAATATTGAAAATGAGTAATACACTAAATCAAGAACAACCACATTTAATATCCTGACGGTTCAAAAAAAGCGACGAGATAAAGAACCGTAAAGAAACCCTCGAAGGAGCTTATATATCGCTCACCTAAAAAAATTAATTACATATTTACATTAACATAAAAAAAATTTATAACTTATTCTTCAGAACTCGGACTTCCATCTGTGGTTGCATTCATGTAATGCTCCGATTCGAGTTGGTACGATGACTCTTGAGCCCGACGTCTTGCCAAGAGCCAATCTTGGTTGCAAACCAGTGTTTCAAGAGATTCAGCGTTAAGACAACTTCGGTAGTCGGTTAGAATGTTGCCGCCAGCACTGAATTCTCGTTCAACTGCTACGGTTGATACTGGGACGGACAACACTTGTCTTGCTAGCATGCCG